ATTTCAGGGGACGCCCTTGAGCACTCATGTCTTGAGCCCTTGAGCCATGTATGTATGTATGTATGCATGTATGTATGTATGTATGTTATGTATGTATGTATGTATGTATGTATGTATGTATGTATGTATGTATGTCTATATATACAGACATTGCACACAAACACACATTATATAGGTATAGAGTTAGAGTTCTGGTTGAAGGACACTCACGCAAAGACGGGCGCACAGATGCGCCCACGGTGCTTGAAGCCAAAGCAGCTAAGAACACAGAAATGAAAGCTCCTCGGTCGAACCTTCCTATCCATCTCTCTGAAAACAGCCGTATTTGTCTTCTTGCAAGGATGGAGAGCCAACGCCTTTTCCTTGGCACATACGTTCCCAAAACACTGTGTGATGCTTTGAAGCGTCCCTTGGTGACTGTCGATGTAGCTATTCCGCTGAGGAAAAAGGATTTGTCGCCCTGCCATGCTTTAGTAAGTGCAGTCTTAAGAGTTTTAATGGTGTTTGGCCAGACGTGTGTACCATCATATTAATATTGGTTGGTCTCGGGCGCTTGTCGAGGCCAGTGGATTTTTTGAAGATGCGTCGGGGTAAATTGTCACCGGAGCAGGAGGCAAGGTTTTAAAGCTTCAGTTTGTGTCTCCTGCGATGCTTTTCCGCTGCAAAGCCCGAGTAGCTGTGAGGCAAAGTTCCGTCAAGGCCTTGCAAATTTGCCCCCGGAATCTAGAAAGGCCCTAAAAGACTGGGTGGAGATGTCTCCAGTCTGCACTTGGTCGCTTTACAGTCAGAGTTATCCTTTGAGTTGTGTCGGGGCTGCTGACGCACGCTGGCATCAAGGACAGGGACAGATAGTAGCACTTGGACCTTGCTCGGGTTGAACTGCCTGTTCCTGGTCTTCATTCTAGGTCGGGGGTGTTGGAGTCCTGCTTTGAAGTAGATAGATTGGATTACTGTTCTCTACCTCTCCTTTAGCAGCGGCACTGCGCAGGTGTCATCACTTTGGCAGCTGCTGCTGTTGTAGGTCACCGCTCTCAGCCTTTTCCCCCTTGTCATTTCAGTAGAGAACGCACGTTGAGCAACAAGTCATGAGTTGGAGATTGTTTGCTTACAGGGAACGATGGGTTGGTGCAACCCTGCATCAATCAAATTTGACAATCTGCAAGCCACCCCATCCTGGCAAACAGGCTTTGTTTGCTCAAGTAGGCTTGCCTAACGGCGTTGAAGATACTTTAAGTTCTACAGCAAAATGTCAGGACAGCCGAAGCATGATTGTTTGTTGCATGGTAATTTGGCTTCGTTATTTTTTGACACGTCATGAAGAGGTTGTCGCAGACCTACAGTCAGCTGACATTCCAGGGGTAACTTGACAAGCGGGATTCCGGATTAAGCTCACAATGCCTCGAAAGCAACACAATGACAGACTAATGAATTGGGTTCCATACATCAGAGGACACCCCGCGCTGTGTGCTGTTAGAAGCATTAGCTGTCAGGGTTCTCACATCATTGCTTCGAGGATGTAGTTTTGTTTCGTGTTCCTTGTAGTATAGTTACTGCTTCATGCCGGCTCGTTCTGCCTCGGGGAGCTTGCGTTTTTCAGCACAGACGCGAACGAGTCTCAAATTAATTATCCTGGCTTGCATTTATATTGAGAGGGGGCCCACCCTATGAAGATGTTGGCAGCATTTCTTGCCGTGCCAATGTGTGGAGTGTTACGGGATTCCGCATGCTGTTGTTTCTTGATCCCCACCCCCTATCTCTACAAAACCGGGGGGGACCTGTCTAAATGTAAGCTACATTTTTCAATGTTTTTGTGGGGGG